CTGTGGGTCCTGTGGGACCTGCGGACCTGTGGGACCTGTGGGACCTGCGGGACCTGTGACACCTGCAAGACCTTGGGACCGGTGGGATCTGTTGGGCCTGAGGGACCTGTGGGACCTGTGGGACCTGCGGGACCTGCAGGACCTCCGGGACCTGTGGCACCTGTGGCACCTGTGCGGCCTGTGGGACCTGCGGGACCTGCGGGACCTGCGGGACCGGCGAGACCTTCGAGACTTGCGGGACCCGTGGGACCTATGGGACCTGTGGGACATCTGGGACAGTGGGACCTGCGGGACCTGTGACCGCCGAGGACCCAAGTAAGGCCCTGAATTCTGGGACCGCCAGGCACCCAAGTAAGGACCTTACTTGGGACCCCAGGAATTCCTTATTAAATTTGGTGGATCGACAGATGTCTCGCACTTTGGGACCATCGAGGTCCCCCGGGGGGCATTTATTAAGGAACCAGAAGTTTCCTTACGTCCACCATGTTTTCTTGGAGCGGAAAGACCCAAAGTTCAAACGTCCCGGCGTGGCCGTCGGAGGGCCACCCAGCTTGGAAACGTGCGGCAAATGTTTCGCCGAGGCTGAACGCGACTCTGCTGCCGTCGCCACCGTAGCTGCACTGCATCCGGTGATCCACTGGCCTCAGGGCCCCGAAGAGTAAGCCTCCTAGCGGTGTCCTGACGACCTCCTGGAATCTGGGGGGAGACCGCCGGGGGACCTCCCCTGGTCCTCTTGGGGGGCAAACTTCCAGAAGGGGGCTGGGAGGTCTCCCAGAAGCTTTTTCTGGTCCTTGCAAGCCTGCTGGGAATCCTCCCCGAGGACCAGGGTCCGGGAGCCTCCCCCAGACCTCGAAATCTGGCAGGGCTCCCTCCAAGGGGAAACTTCCGGGGAGACCAGGGGAGGGGACCTCCCCTGGCCCTCCCGGGCCGCTGGGGGGAAACTTGGTGGAGGACCAGGTGAGGTCTCCTGGAAGCTTCCCCTGGTCCTCCCGCCTCCCACAGGAGACCTCCCCCCTGCGGGGGAGGCTTCCAGGTGAACCAGGGGAAGTCCCAGAGACCTCCCCTGGTCGTCCCGGAAGCCTGGGGGAGGCCTCGCCTGTGGGAAGCCTCTCGCCACACCTTGTGGAAACCAAGGGAAGCCTCCGGAAGGCCTCCCCAAGCCCTCGGGGGGATCCTCCAGGAGAACCAGAGGAAGTCTGGTGGAGGCCCCCTCCACCTCGCCGGAGGAGGGCCCGCTGGGAGGTCTGGTCGACGTGGAAGGGGGGCATCCCACCAGACCTGTTGGAGGTGGAAGGGAGGTCTGGTACCAGACCTGCATGGAGGCGAACGCGGCCCAAAGCACCAAGATGCAACTCACGACGGCCCAAGAGGGCCCCTAATGTCCCAGGTAGCCCCATATACGACTCAAGAGTGTCCCAGGAGGCCCCCATGACAACCCGACAGTAACCCATGACATACCACATGTTGCCCATGTGTGCCACGTGAGAACCCCAGGAGACGCAATAATGAGACAAGGAGAACGACATGGAAGAAGGGAGGGTGACAACATGGGGGACGTGGGAAGGGGAAGGGCGACGACGCAGACGAAGGAGTGCGCCCCGAAGCGGCGCGGATGAGCGCGTCACACGTTGCGGCCCTTGCAAGGCTATGGGCGACGACATGTCGCGCGTTATGGCTTTCGTGGCGGTGCTCGAAGACTCGCCACGCCGAGTGCTGCGCGGTCGCGGTGCGCGGGAGTTGCCGCGAACAGATCGGCATGACGCACGCGCCGTGGTTTCTACCACAACCGCGCGACGCGTATGATTTGTCAACAACGTCGCGCCCTCCACGAGCGGACCGGGCCCTCCACCTTGAGACGTGCGCAATAAAACACCATCAAAACATAATGCGAGTGGGCGAGGGGGAAAGCAACCAGAAGAGGTCGCGCGAAAGGTGGACAACAAATGAACAATGCTCACAAAAAATCACATGCGCAAGCGCCCAACGAAACAAACTTATAGACACTCCAACAATTTGGCGTGCCGCGAAGAAGGGAAAAGGGGCGGGGGGCCCGCGTGCCCACGAGGAACAAACTTAACGGCATGGTAATCGCTACTGGACACGCCGTCACGCAGAGCCGCTCTGACAACGCACACGCACACGGGCGCATCATCGCGCAAAAGCGGCCGAACCACGCCGCGCGAAGCATCGCTGCGCCAAGGCGATCCGCCCATGCAAAACACGCGCAAATGGCATCCGAAAAGAGCGTTACGCGCCGCGCAAACAAATATGGCGCGGTGCCGCAACAATCAGGCGGCTACGAATGTAAACTCCTCTGAACTGCGCGCACGCGCGTCGTGTTAAACAGGCCGCGCCGCGCAGGCACGCCACTCGGTCTCGCGCCAGCACGTCGAAGGGAAGGTCTGCGGGAGACGCTCTGCAAGTGGCAATGAAGCAACCCCACGAGAACGCGATACATGTGAAATCGAAGCACGTGCCAACAGTAACCGCGACAACAGAACAACCAACAAAAAATCATTTTAAAGAAACATCCATAACTTCCGGTTGCGGTGGTTTCTTGCGCGGAAGCGTTCGTGGCGGAGGGGGCAGTAAGCGGGGTTCCCGCTGGGGCGCTGGGGACGCGGGAGGGTTCGTGGCAGAGACCCACCGCGCGGGGGTCCCATTTTGGCGCTGGGGACGCGGTGTGTGTGTGTGTATGTGTGTGAATGTGTGAATGTGTGAATGTGTGAATGTGTGATTGTGTCGATGTGTGGATGTGTGGATGTGTGGATGTGTGGGTGATTGAATGTATGAATGTGTGAATGTGTGAATGTGTGAATGTGTGAATGTGTGAATGAGTGAATGTGTGAATTTGTGAATGTGTGAATGTGTGAATGTGTGAATGTGTGAATGTGTGAATGTGTGGATGCGTGGATGCGTGGATGTGTGAATGTGTGAATGTGTGAATGTGTGAATGTGTGGATGTGTGGATGTGTGAATGTGTGAATGTGTGAATGTGTGAATGTGTGAATGTGTGAATGTGTGAATGTGTGAATGTGTGAATGTGTGAATGTGTGAATGTATGAATGTGTGAATGTATGAATGTATGAATGTGTGAATGTGTGAATGTGTGAGTGTGTGCGTGTGTGCGACCAGGAATAAAACGTTCGTGGCGGAGGGGGCAGTGGGCGGGGCTCCCGCTGGGGCGCTGGGGACGCGGGGGGGCTCGCGGCAGCGAGCCACGGCGCGGGGGTCCCACACTGGCGCTGGGGACGCGGGGGGGGGGGGGCGACGCGAAATAAAGTGGTCGGAGTTCTTGACATATTGTGCAAGCCAATACGGAACAGTGATCAATATGCTCCCTAGATAGTCAGCGTGTTCAGCGGTCGTCTTTGGATGGGCAGCTATTGGGAACCAAAATCGACCCCATGTGGGCGACGCTGGGGCGAGGTGCGCCACGGGTGCCAGGCGCGCCACGCGCGCCAGACACGCTTGATGTGCCAGATGCGCTACGTGCTCCGCGTGTGCCACGTGTGCCGCATACTCCAGCCGCGCCAGGTGCGCCACGTTCGGGGCACGTCCAGAGTGTGTCCAGTGCGCCTGCGCACGTGACAGCACACATCGGTAAACATGTCGGCCCCCACCGTCCTTGTCGAAAAACAATGCTCATCATTGTGTTTGGTGAGCCTGGGCACAGCAGGCCATACGCCACCACATCCGCCGCTTCTGTCAAAAACTACTTGACAGTGATCGCGGGGTGGTTGCGCATGATCCATATTTAGCCGCGAGGTGCATGTTGTATTGTTCTTTGCTACAGATGGTAGCCCTGCGCGCAGCAGGCAATATGATGATACCCTCGCCGTCCCTGTCAAAAACAATACAAAGTGCACGCGGGCCTCACGAGTATGACTCAAGACTTCCCCAAATTGTATGTTGTATTGGTTGTTGACATGGATGGTGGGGGTGGCGCATCGGGTTGGCCGCGCATGCTCCGCATGTGGACGCAGAGTGCGTTTTGAATTGTTTTTGACAGGGATGGTGGGGGGGGCCCGCAGGGTTCCTGGTTGGCTGCCAGTCGCCAGGGGAAGGGGGTGCCTATATTAGTATGGAACCATGATAAACCCTTTCCCCGAGCAGCGGAATGAGGGGTTTAGGCAGACAAAGCGACACATTCCTTCAACCACCTACGCCCAAGGGGCTGGTGGGATTCAACCCATGACTGAGACTGTTGGCCTCAGCACGGGCGCTCACTTGTGGGCCCCCGCACATTAGCAAACTCCTGACGCGGGTCGTGCTCCATAGGGAGCTCACCCTGTGGCATAAGCAGGGGCGCTCGATGTGGGTTGTCGGCCATGTCAGCCCCACCGGTGGCCTCGGTGGCGGCGCTCGCATGTGGGACCCCGCTCATTTGGGCACATCCCTGACGGATCGCGCTCCGTGGGGAGCTCCACCGACGGTCCTACTGGCGACAGCCTCTCATCCGGGTCGCGCTTGCATCAGTCGCCCCGTCGGATCCCTCCCTCCTGCGGTCCGCACCAGGTGGGGAGAGGACTGCCCTGTGCGTCAGAGCCAGCTTCGGATTGGCCTCCAGACTGCCTCGCGGCCGCCCCAGACAGCGCCCAAATGTTCCGGGCGGCCGTCGACACGGGCCTGAGACAGCTCCAGGGCAGCCCAAGATTGGCCGCAGACGCAGACCGACCCCCCCGATCCGGAGATCCCTGCCCCGCTGTGCATGCCGCCCGCATCGGTGTTGTCACTCTGTGTCTGTGTCTCGTCCGTACACGGCGCGCCCCACCGCATCGACAGACGCGCTCGCGACCGCCAGCGCTGCCGATTTCGAGCTTCTGCTGCGCCTCCCCGTCTCTCCTCGAGTTCTTCTCTTGCGTGTCTCTGCTACCGTCCCCTGCATCCCCTCCCGCCTCCGGTTTTATCCTTCCCCTCCCTGCCTCGACCCCATCCCCCGCGTGCCTCGGGTCGATCCCCGCCCCCCCCCCCCGCATCGGCCTCTCTCTCGGTGGCAGGTCCGCGACCCCGCGCAGGAGGTCGCCGTTCTGTGGATGACGGGCAGCGCCGCGGTGGTGGCCAGACAGCTGCCTGTGGTCGTGTTCGCGTATAACTGTCTGATGAACGTTCTCGGGGGCTCGCCTGCTCTGCTGGCAGCTTCCTCTTGCGACAGCCGTCCTTGTCGTCGCGTCTGCTTTCGTGTCTGCTCTGCCCACTGGCGGGGCCAGCGCCGCCACGGCTGGACGCGGTTCAGAAGACAAGACGATAGAGAGTTAGGAATGGGTCCAATGACCGGAGTTGAGCGGACATTGGCAGAGAGGAACATAGGAAGGACGAAATCAAGTGGCTTCATCTTGGAAGCACACGTCCTGCCCATGACGAATTCCAGAACAAAGCGAAACGGGGAAAGTGGCTACGCTGCAGACCAGTATCGAGTACATGAGGGGTGGGATTTGCACGTGACACTGATCAAGAGGTTACTTGTGTTGACGAGGGGGAGGATCCCTCCTCTTCCCTCCCCCTCACCAGGCTCTCCAATACCCACCCTTGCCACACTAGATAAAACCCCCGAGTCCCCTAGATTCTAGGGGACTCGCCGACCCTGAAGGGGGGAGGCGACAAGGCCTTCTGGCTGGTGCCGCCGACCCTGAAGGGGGACGTCGACAACGACGGCGACGGGGTCGGCGACAACAACGACGGCGCTGACGTGGGGCAGAGTCCTCAGCGATGCTTCGTGGGGTTTCTTCGGAGCGCGCTCGTATGCCTCTGGGGGGTAGTTTTGGGGCCTCTTGGGAGCATCTTGGAGGCCCCTTGGAGCTTCTTAGGGGTCCCTTCGGGCTTCCTGGGAGCCTCTTGAAGGGCCTTTTGGGGCCTCGTGGGGGCCTCTTGGGGCCTCTGTGGGCCTCGTGGGAACTGCTCGTGGCCGAGGGCTCGAAATGTTCGTTTGGGCCCCCGTGTGGGCACTATCTCGGAGCCGTGTTAGTGGCCTTTTGGGCCGTCCGGGAGGCCTCTAGGGCCGTCTCCTGGCCCTCCTGGGTCGCTCTGGGGCCGGCTTGGAGACCTCTCGGGGGCCTCTCCAGGGGGGCCAGCACGTGGCGAAAGTCTTCGTACAGTCAAACGCTTTCAAGAAGGGGAAAACACACACAGACACAATTAATCGTCGACTCCCAGGAAAACATGGGGAAATATGGGATGGGGGGGGAAGACGAAAACCCAGAAAATATAAGAAAACATAGGGAATCGTTTTATTTGTGTGTATTCATTTGTGTGCCCTGGGGCCCCTTCAGCTTTGGCTTCCCCGCCGAGGCCTTTTTGTTGGACGTGACGCTCCGGCCCTCCGCAGAGCGCCCCCCCCCTCCGAGCCCAGGGGGAGGGGGTCTGGGGAAGTAGGGAAACAAAAAGTGGCATAAACATAAAAACTCGGAGGTCCGCGCGGATTGCCTGGATCGGCGCTGGACCCACCTCCCTGGCGCGCGGAGCGCGCCGGGGGCGGCGCCGGAGGCGCCGCCGAGGGGCCCCAGCGCCGATCCGAGAAATCCGCGCGGACCTCCGCGTTTTTATGTGCATGTCACTTTTTGTTCCTCTAGGAAGGGGTACAACCCTCCCCGAAGGTGCGGGCAGGCTTTATGTCCATGTTCGCTGCGTCCTGGACTTCCTGTGAGGGGGCGCCGAAATAATGCCAGGGCGCATCGGATGTGGATAAAAAGTTGGCCCCCAGGGGGGGCGGGCAAGCTTTGATCCATTTCCACTGCGCGCTTCTTGCTTCGGGGGAAGGGAGCCTGAAGCTCCAAGACGCAGTGGAAGTGCCCGCAGGGGGAAGAGGGATCGGGCCGGACGAAAGGGGGGGATTGGGAAAGGGGGGGGTACGAAATCTGCTGCATGCAGCTGGTTTCGGCCCCACCGAGGGGGCCCATCCCTCGATACATGGGCGCCTCCGGCGCCGGGAGGCGCCCGTAAAATCAGCTACGTGAGCTGATTCTCACCCCCCCCTTTGCTATCCCCCCCCTTTCGCCGGGCCCGAAGGGAAGACGGAAAAGGAGACGCTCCAGACCGCTCACGCCCTGAGGGGTTGGTGGAATTTTGAACGATTTTAGTTGTCCTCGATGGCCTCATGCCTAGATGTTCATGTCTTGGAGGCCTCATGGGGCCCCGTTGACGGCAATCCTCCGATTGTCTCGAGTCTTGGGGTGCCTCTTGATGCCATGTTGGGCCATCTTGGTGGCCTTGGACAGAAACAGGCATGTGGGGGGCATCTTGGGATCCTGGGGCATGATTGGCGCCTCGCCTCTTAGGGCCTCGGTGGCAACCCTGGCACAAGAAAGAAGGCTCCCAGGGCCCCCTTTATGGTTCCACCTTGCGGAGCCTGAAGCATTGCAGACCTTGTGCGCACAAGAACTTCACTCGCGGCGCTCAATAAGAAAGTTGGTTTTTCATTTCAGCCCCTGCGGATTTCTTACGCCGCGGCCATGTTCGGCGCGCCAGGGGCTGCTACTTTCTTACGGGCCAAGTTTCTTAAATCGCACGCGCCCTTCCAAAACCGCCGCGGAGGCTGTTTGATTCGGGGAGTCGCCCGGTTTGCTCCGAGCTTCGCAGCGCCACTCCTCACCCAGAGCGCGTCAGGTGGGAGACTCGTGGAGACATGGCACTTGAGGTCCTGATGCAGAGAATTCGAAGGAACCACAGAACAGTCCATTCAGTGCGTGCGGCTCGGATTTGAGAGTGTAATTCAGAGCGTGAATTACCTACCCCGCTTTCGCTTCCAGGCAAAACCAAATCATACCACGCGCCTCCTCGACAAGCTGCCTGATTAGTACAGGCCGTAGTTTGGCATCGCTTGGTATCTTTTGGAAGCGAGGGTGGTCAAAAGCGAGGTAGGTTTGTTTGCCCCCTAGTAATGGCAGAGGCAGGGGCTCTGACGATGACCGCGCCTGTGGTGGCTAGTGGCCTGGAGCCCGAACGTCGCTGTCGGTCCCAGAGCACGTGGCTAGGCCGTCGGCGCAGCACGTGCACCCCACAGGAGCCCACGGAGACGGCAGGCGACGGGACCCTCCCCGCGAGCACCGCCGCCCTGTGCGGCAGCTCCGGTGCTCTGGCGATGGCGGCCTGGAGCATGCTCGGGCCGCAGTGGGCCGCTCTGCAGGCCGACGCGTTGCCCAGCCTTGTCCCCAAGCGTGCGTGGATCCTGCTTACCGGTTTGAAGCATATCCCTATCCCTATGTTTGACATCACCTCACCTCGATGCCGATCTTAAGGATTCCCTCAGTTTCTGAGGGCCTATCCCTAAGATTGTCCTCGCTTTTTGCTCGCCCATCTTAGGGATAGGGATACGTTCGAGCCTGCTTATCCTGCGGCACCGCCAAGCACCCCCCGGAGTAGTGTTCCCAGCAGCTTCGGCATGAGCCAGCGGGTCGTCATCGTCGTCCTTCTCCGCCTCCTCGGGGGAGGGGCCGCAAGTGCAAGCAGGGGGGAGGTTCCCTTCCTGTACGCGGAGCTGCGTCGGCAGAGGCACCAGGACTCCTGGGGAGCTTTTGCGAGGAGGGTCGATTGCCCGAATCCCAAGAGGAGGAGTCATCTCTTGCTCCTCCCCGTCTCCTGCTCCTCCCCGGTTCCCCCCATCCCTTCCACTATTCCCGCCCCTTTCTCCTCCTCTTCCCCGTCCCTCCCTCCCTCGCTTACCCCTATGCGCCTCCTTTTCATCTTCAGCACGCGGGAGGATATTGGTAGCAAGTTCGCCACCAAGCGGGCGAAGATGATGGTTGCCATGCGCTGTGCTCAGCGGGAATGGGCGGCACAAGATCAGGGTTCCAGCGACCACGGTATACCCTCAGCAGGGCCCACAACAACAATGTGAACATCAGTATGAGGGTCAGGGCGACGACGACGACGATGACGATAAGGAGGAGGAGGACTATGATGGTGATACTGCTGCTGCTGATGATGGTCATGAGGAGGATGACGATGATGACGATGCTTTTGCTGATGATTATGATAATGATGATGATGCTGACGATTATGGTGAAGATGCTGATGCTGATGCTGATGCTGATGATGCTGATGATTATCATGATGATGTTGGTGATTGTGATGAATATCATGTTGATGGTGATGATGATGATGTTGATGATGATGATGATGATGATGACTTCGCTGATGATGAAGACCAAGTAGAAGATGATGACCATGGTGGTGATGGTGGGACTGTGAATGACGATGGTGGTGGTGGTGGTGGCGATGACGACGACGGCACCAACGGCGACGACGACGAGGTTGATGATGGTGGTTGTGGTGGTGATGATGATATTGTTGATGATGGGACGATTGCGCGGATGATCATAGCGATGCGGAATAATAGCAAGAGCAAGACCAGGACTCAGAATATGAGCAGTAGTTTCAGCTTCAAGCAGGCGTGAGGGGCGAATGCGAGGAGGAGTGTAGTCAGGATGGGGGTCATGGACAGCAGGATGAGGTCCAGGAAGACCAACACGAGTATCAACTGCAGCAGCATCGGTAGTGAAAGGGGAGATTCAGCGGTGCGGGGTTCTGGCTTCTGTTGCAGTGGCTCTTGTCGTGGTCGTCGCCCCGTGACCCGCCCCGCGGCCTGCCTGCCTTTTCATTCCAGTGCGGAGTCCGGTGGCCCCTGGCAGGCGATCTGCCTGGGATCCGCCCGCCGTTTACCCCGGGAACAGGCGCCCACGACCCGCGCCCGCGAGCCGCGCCCCCCCTGCGATTCGCACCCCACTTGGTCCGAGCCGAGTGTATCCATAACCGTCGCCTGGGGAATCGATCTTAGGGAGCCTCGGTAAGCGGTGGATGTGGAGGGTGGGGAAACCAAGAGGCACCGACACCGCTACCCCGCGACCTCTCCCGGGGTGCGTTCCAACGAGAAAGTCGAGGCGAGTCCAGCGGTGGCGACGAGGGCCTCCCGGGAGGCCCTGAAAGGCGAAAACGGGCGAAGGGTAGCAGTATTGGTACCTGTTCCTCCTCCGAGATAGATTCAGGATCTGGGGAGGGCGTGTACAGTGAGCGGCTTGAGTAAGGAACACTTACTTTTCAAAAGGGGCTCGGTCGTTCCTTAGGCTTGCATGCGTTATTTACAGTTCCTTATGCGTTATT